TTATTGAGACTCCAAGTGACTTGGAGGTAATTTCCTACTAAAATTGTATGGGGTGGGGCGACTTTTTTTTTAAAAAAAGGATGATGGTGGCAGAAGCTTAAAAAGCCAAGATTAAAAGAAACCCTCTTTGCTAACATCAGAAAAGGACTGACTGAAGAATCAGATTTTTTTTTAAATAATTTTCTTGAGTTAACTGGGATTAAATCAGAATTTAAATTTTAAATTTTACACTATCTATAAACGAAATATATTTTTTATAAATTTATCACAGATTTTATATAAGACAAATATTTCCAAACTATGTTGTGTTATAAAGTAGACATTTCATAATTCTCATTTTTTCCTATTTTTATTACGGCAGGAAAATCTTGAGATTCTTTTTTTACAACACATTTTTCCAAAACAAAATCTATGTTTAGCAACACTCATTATTTTTCTACGATCCATTATGAAGAAATAGTTCAGAAAAACACACGAATGCTTTATGAGATTCTACTGGGAGGAAAGTTTATGTTTACCTGATTTGTTAGACACCCATATAATTGCTTCTGATGAGATGTGGCTTGTATTTCCTATTGCAATTGTTAATGGAATCTGCCACAAGTAGCTGCAAGACAAAGGAATGGGTTCTAAGAATAAAAACACTGAAATGATTCTTCTCACTCAACAGCAATCAGGAATTATATCAAAGGTATCAAGCATGTTCAGTAAGAGAGCAAATATTTTGATTCTAACACGTTACCTTGTTTCTAAAATCAATTTGTGAATAGCAACAAAGGAGTAAGACAGTTATTCATCTTTCTTTTTAAAACAAAATGTACTACCATTGAATGATAATTTCTCATAAAATAAAATAGAAATAAATAAGAAAATAGAAAAGACAATAACTAATACAACAGCCCCTCCCCCTAAGAGTAATTTAAGGGGAACAGGCTGTGGCAACAGTGTACATTTTGGTTTCAGTAACAATATGCCTTTTTCATAAGGCTATCATTAAAAATTTATCGATAATTCCTTTATAATTACTCATATTTCAGTACAGGTAATTCTTGACTTACAACAGTTCATTTAGTTCAAAGTTACAACAGCACTGAAAAAAATGGCTTATGATGGTTTTTTACAGTTACAACCTTTGCAGCATCCCCATGACCATGTAATTAAAATTCAGATACTTGGCAACTGGTTTGTATTTATGACCATTGCTGTGTCCCCAGGTCATGTGACCATCTGATAAGCAGTCAATGGGAAGCCAGATTCACTTAACAACATGTTACTAACTTATCAACTGCACTTATTCACTTGCCACATGTGGCAAGAAAGGTCGTAAAACAGGGCAACACTCAACGAATATCTCACTTAACAACAGAAATGTTGGGCTCAATTATGGATGTAAGTCAAGAACTACTTATAATCAAGTGTTTTAAGTTTATAGACATTTTTCACAATGGTGGCATACTGAAGACATCAAAGTGAACAATAAAATATAAACAAAGCAAAAATAAAACACCCTTTCCCCAAATTGCTGCAACAAAATACATTTTGATATAATTAACAGTTGAACAGGTAATGCAATTTGTACATTTTGATTTCTTATTTAACAGAAATCTTTTGGGAAAAAAATTGATGTCCTTTTGAAGTTTATATGACATGCTAGCATGTTTCCCTGAAAATAAGACCTTTTGAGCACATGCACTAAAATTAGCCCTCCCCGAAAATATTGCAGCACAGCATCAGCCATGAGGTGACCACGCTTGCTGCCTCCTGCACTTCAAAAATAATAAAACCTCTCCAAAAATAAATCCAAGCCCTTATTTGGGGGGGGGGGGTGTCAAAAGAAAATAAGATCCTGTCTTATTTTCGGGAAAACACAATAATTATTTGCAGAGTGAAGGGAGTAACATATGATGACAGAAGTATATGGGAAAAAGTTCTAAGAAAAAAACACTCCTTTTTCTGTTTTTGACAGTCTCTTTTATGTTTATTTTGTTTACGTATCAGATTGCCTATGGAGGACAGTTGACTTTTCCTTCAGGCCTGAATTTATCATTTGCAAAGGGCCAACATTTTTTTTAAGGCACATGAAATAAAGCCAAGGATCACAGGTATTTTTGGCTTCCCAAAACCCCACCCACATCCATCCCATTTTTCTAAAAATTGGATGTGCCGAGGGTTTGGGACATCTGCAAAGTGCTCCTGAGGGCTGAGGAAGGCAAAAATGAGCAAAAAATAGGCTGATTTTGCTCATTTTTGCCTCCCCCCCAAGCCTCCTGGAGCACTTTAAAAGTGTCCCCAAGCTTCTGATTTTTGCAAAAACTGGAGCATGTAGAGGGTTTGGGAGGCCTGCAGCGTGCAAAAACCTTTTTTAAAAAATTACCTCTTCAAAATCTTGGTGCATCTTATAGTCCGAAAAATACGGTACATGACCACATTGGTAATTATGTTTTAGTATTAGGATCAGTCAAAACCAAAGATAGTGTGAATGTAACACTCAAAGAATGTCAAAGTCAGCAAGTGTAAGCTGTGTCATATGAATAAAAATACTCTGCCCCCCCTCTCTCTGTCTCTCTGTCTCTCTCTGTCTCTGTCTCTGTCTCTGTCTCTCTCTGTCTCTCTCTCTGTCTCTTTCTCTCTCTCACACACACACACTTTCATTGAGAGGCTATGAACCTGCAATGGTTTGGCTTGCAGTGGATACCTAAATGAAAACATTCTTTTAAAAATGTTATATGCAAGGCAGCTACTAAATGTAGACTAAATGAAAGAATGATAAAAGTGAAATATGCAGAAAGCTGAATTCTACAGCATTATGCATGATGACTAGACTAGAAAGCTGGGCAAATGCATGATGATAATAGTTGGGATAATTAATTTTAGGCTTTCGTGTGTATTTGTATATTATATCAGTTATTTATGAATAGGTTCCACTGACTAGTGAAGAAATAATAAACTTCACCACATTTTGTTCTCAAGTTTTCAACATACCAATGAAATTAGTGGCAGTATTTTCTAAAGAATGGAAATTTGCTCTATGCTGTAGCAAATTAAATTAGTTCCCTTTACTGTTTCCTCTTCTATTTTTAAAAGATTAACATTTGCATTTAATTCATTATTTTCATTTTTTTTTACCCACAATTAAATGTTCATTGCTATAATTGATCAGGACTTTTGCAGAAAGCTGTAAGCATATTTCAGAAATAAGCAATTCAGGTAAACATGCATCTTTATATGTGTAAAAGTCTTAATTGATTCAGTTAAGACTTAGGTTATCAAATCCATCTGTAATTCACCCAGAACTGCATTCCTAAAATGTTTTTGCTGTCAGAATTAGTTTTTCTTTTCAAATATTCCACTCTGTACTTTTTCATTCCTCTCTTACGTTTCCTTCAATTTCTATACTTATTAGAAAACACGTCTACACAAATTTCCATATTTATTATAAACATGACAATAAGCCTACACAAGAATCAATAACATATGATATTAGAATATACTGAAATTTTCCAAGTTTAAAACAGTAACAGTTGCATTTTTAATAAATTAATAATTGAATTATAGCAATGTACATCAGTAACAGAAGAATTATTATAAAACTGCATTAACTTTTATAGGTAAGATTATTTTAAATTAATGTTTCTAAACATACGTTATATTCTCTTGGAACTATAGGACATATTTTATTCCCTTGTTACAATTTTTTTCTATCTATTCAGCCTAGGAAAGCTGAAGAATTACTGTGAAATGAAATCAATCATGGGCTTGGTCAACATTAATCCAGAAAAGATGGAGTTATTGTATGTCAAGAAAACAATTTTACAAAGAAAATAGTGTAATACTGTAATATAATGTTCCCCTTGAAGAACTAAGTGTTTTAGGGAATTCCTACTATCAGTAGGAAAAGCTAATCAGACACATTTAGGGGTGATTTTTAATAATTTATGCAATACTATGATGTACAACACAATGCTATGCCAATGTAACATTCTCTGGATCTTCAATATCAACATATATTGTGCTATTTTTTTTCTTTAAAAATTATGCAGGAAGGCTAGGCAGCCTGAGTATTTTGAAATTCTGCATAGATTTGAAGACCTATATAATTGGCTCCAGGAAGTCTGTCTACTGTCCTTCCTGAGTTTCTTGACAATCTGAAGTGACACATGATGTATCTTTTTTCAACTAATATCTTAATTTATATAACCCACACCAATTCTATACTCTCCGCCCATCTGTGACCCCTTCCCAGGCTCCAGAGGCTTTCCTGAAGCCTGGGGAGANTTTCAGGTTCTTATTTATAGGTTACTGCAAACTTTGATCACTAATATTATGACATCTATTTTCATAAATTATGTATGAACTATATTGGTAATAGTTACTGCAATTATTGTGATGCAAAACCTGCCACTTCTAAAATTGGTTTAAGTTCTTATTTGCTGGTTAATACAAACTTCGATCACTAACATTACAATAGCTATTTTCAGAAATTGTTAGCAGTTGTTACTTTGCAATTATTGTTATGAAAACCCTGATTTCATATCTGCATGTATATTCATACCATTCCAGACTGGGTGAAATACAGTATATGCATCTTTTACTGTCAAATAAGACATTTTATCTGTAACAGAGCATTAAAAATTCTGAATTTCAAAGAGTTTTATTATTAAAAATGACATGTTGCTCAAGGATCACTTTGAAAGGTAAATAATTCATTAGTGAAATGGGAACAGATTATTAATCTCAAAAGTACTTAAACTTCACCTTAAAGAAAATTAATCAAGCATCTGTATTCAGAAATACTCTCAGATTTTTACTAGTCAGAAATAGAGAATGCAGTGCTGAGAATCTTTTCAATCATGAAAAGACAGAAACTTGAAGAAAAGGGATGAAAATTGGAAGAGTTTTAAAGTATCTTCAACTTCAAATTGCACAAGCACACTATGAAGGAAAATATATGAGAGCTGTAGGAATATGCATTAAACTGGATTATCTCCCGAAAAACATACCTGGCTAAATTGAATGCATCATCGATCAAACCTGCACGATTACTGACAGAGATTACCTATAAAGGTAAAGGAGAAAAATTGAAGACCTTCGGGTGATAAGAAACTAGAAGTATTTCATGTATTCAGGCAAGAAAGTGAAATGAACTTACTTTATGGTTTCTCATTAGTTGGTCAATTATCAATCTCCAGTTTCTAATGTCATAGTTAACCCTAAAGTAGCCAGCTTGATTGATGTTTCCAAGCAGCCAACTATCTCCATTAAGATATGCAATTCTGTGATGTTCTGTAAACAAAGTAGAGTGATAAGAGAAATCAAGTTATTTTTCAGAATGTTTTATATTTTAAAATAACTGATCATAAAATGAAGAAAAAACCTACAAAACATGAAAAACAAGATACTCCACTCTTTATAGGAGTAGTAGTAGGTAGTAAACAAGACAATGTACATTGCTATAAAAGGCAATTATCGTGTATCCTTGATTTAAAAATTGAAATTTGTTGTTATCTGCTTCATTTTTCTCTTAAGGTTAATACCAATATGGTTCTTAAGCAGATTAATCTCTAAACTGGCATACCTGGATTTAAGCTCGAATCTTAACATTCAGCCAAGATGTGATAAAGACTTTATAATTTCAATGAGTGAATATCATTTTACTAATGCATCTCCTAGTGGTGACATGCAGCATTATCACACTATGGTGCTAGCTAGCCAGTTTTCAGAATTCTCCACAGAGGAGGTAAAAATGACGTATTTTCATTGCACAGAGCATGCACAAATAATATTTATCACCCAAAAATAGAACAGCCAAAGCTCATCTCATGGTGATTTCATTACATTAAAAGGAATAAAGACAGAGCCATCAATGATTGTTCAACAGTAGGAATCACAGTTTATACTGAAATAATTAACTATTTCTCTGCTTACAGAATAGTGCTTCTTCTGAAGTCAATGTCCTTGTCTTAAGCTATTATTATGTTTATAGTTGTAACTAAACTCCCCATAGAATAGGTCCTTAGGAAAGAAATAACTGGCAATCTCTCATAGCCAGCAAAATGTTGATCACCATCTTAGGCAATGGGACAACTTGCCACAGCCAACTCGCTGTGGCAAACTTACTGCGGTCAACTCGCAATGGCCAACTCACCATAGGCACCTTGGCTCAGGAGAACTCGCCATGGCCAACTCACTGCGAGACAACTCGTTGTTGGAGAATTTAACAATTCTATTTAATTATTTCAAATAAATATTTTTTAAAAAAACTTTTGCCATTCACATTTCATTCTGTTCTTCCTTTTGCATCCTTTCTTTAATGATTCTATTCCATCATTTGTTTGATATTAATGTAACTCTTGTCTATAGTGCAGTGGTCTCCAGCCTTGGCAACTTTAAGACCTGTGGACTTCAACTCCCAGAGGTCCTCAGCCAGTTGGCTGAGGACCTCTGGGAGTTGAAGTCCACAGGTCTTAAAGTTGCCAAGGCTGGAGACCACTGCTATAGTGAGTTGGTCGTGGCAAGTTGGTGGTGGTGTGTTGGTTGCAAAGCGCCTGAATGATCATGTGACTGCAGGACTCATGACAATCATAAAAGCAAGGATTGGTCACAATGCTTTTTTAAAAATACCATCATAATTTTGAATGGTTGCTAAACAAGAAGTCTGTAAGCTAAGGCTACTTTATAACATTTGTTTTGTTACTATAGTAAGATTTTTAATCAAAATGATGTAATTTATATTACTGAAAAAGCAAGAAACAATTCTAGTCCTTTTGACCTCTAGAGTTCAGTACAGCATAGATTAAATCATTTGTTAAATCACTTTAAACATAACATTATTTCAAACTCTTTAAGTAAGCTTGCAGGTTATAAAATACGCATTAATAGGAGTAAAACCTCTCTATATTCTATTTCATCCCCACTAGATAGTCCAGACCAGGACTCCACAGGAATGCTAAAGGTATTTTAATTAAAATCGGCTATAACAACAGAGAAGAGCCTAATGCTGGGAAATATTGAGGGCAAAAGAGGAATGGGACGACAGAGAATGAGGTGGCTGGATGGAATCACTGAAGCAGTAGACGTGAGCTTAAATGGATTCCAGAGAATGGTAGAGGACAAGAAGACCTGGAGGAATGTTGTCCATGGGCTCGCGATGGCTCTTCGTAACTAATAACAACAATAATAAAAGAATCTTGAAAGTCTGATTGTGCTGTATCTCATACTCCTTAATACATCCAGTGACTCAGGATGGTATCTGTTTGAGACACTTCCAAATGTGACCTCATTTCTTTAGACTTCTTTAGACTGTTTCAGCCCTGTTTGCCTAGGCAATGACTCTTCCATATTTTCAACAAGCTATACTGAATATTCTACTAACACTATGTATACTTTGAAAATAATTCAGAAGAATTGCTTGGACATTCTAATGTTTTATTTTTTTCCCCACCGAAAATATTTCACTTAGTTTTTCATTTGATTTGTACAGTTTACACAGTATGTTATATTAAAGGTGGGAAAATTCTGAGTTGATTTATCGTGGTCTGATATTTTTACATCTCACAAACCTGGCATTTTAACAGGGGAGTGTGTAGATTTTTCTATATCGACTGTATGTCTATTTACAATGTTCTGCACTCATGTGATTGGAATTTATTACTATTTTTTGTTGTTGGAAACTGGCATTTACTTTTGGTCTCCAGTAAAAATGCCCATTGGGTACAATGTGTTGCTTAATGACTACACACGTACTTAACAACTGTGGCATTGACCACTGCAAAAAAGGTTCTGAAACTGGTTGTGGTCATGTGGTGACCCACTTAATGACCACCATGACTTACAATGGTAACTGTGGGCTCAATTATGGTTACAAGTTGAGGACTATCTGTTTTTACAGTTAAGGGCATGTTTTACTTTGACTTATGCCTACAAAGGATTTTTTTTCATGTTACATTAGTTCAAATGAGTAGGTAGGTATTGTAAAGAATGTCTGATAGTACATTCGTTTCCCATTCTTCAATTCCATTACACGTTATTCGCTTTGAGGGGGCCTTTAGAT